AGTTAATTGTTGAAGTAATGGGATATTTTTCAACAAAGCAAACGTTGTAATACACCTCGATTGATGTTCTCTTCTGATGTCAATGGGTAGAGGCCAAACCAAGATCAGTCTCACGAGGCCAGCTGCTTGGGCACCTCCTGGCTTCCTTTGACTATCCACTTCGGCTCCTGAAGAGGTCACTCCAGCAAATAAACACGGTGAGGGGCAGTTTACCGGTCAAAATAAAACTCCGCTAGATGGACTTAGGAGCGGGGTACCTGGAGCTTCCTCCTGACGGTGTGAGAAGTCTTCGCACTTTACTGGACAACTACCGCCCGCCAAAGCTGGGCAGCCTCCAGCCAATAAAGTGCTATCCCGTCCACGTTCCGCTTATCTCATTGGGTGCATGAGGCTAAGGGCCGATCCCGAACAGCGGACCGTCAACTAACGCACCAGTGAACTACAAACTTAATCGAAACTTAAAGGCCTTGCGTGAAAGGCCTCCATAAACGCCCACACGAGTGATTCGTTTACGTTCCCCCGTTTGATCTACGCCCCACTGCCTTGTGGGTCAAACTTTTAAGTCAAAGGCTCCGATTAGGGTCCCCAAAGAGAAACCTCTTCGTCGATGAGGGCTACCGTGAAGTATGCCTTGCCCCAAAGTCTTAGGTACCCATTTGGAAAACCCTCCTCATCTGTCCACTTCCTCCCTTCACTCCCAAATTGTAGGAGATGCATGTGGTTTGCCCCTCCCCCTGGGATATCATTCAGCGTACAACCAATGAGGTCAACCACTCAGAGGCTATCCGATTTTTAAATTTAAAACTCTTCTGGAGTCACGTAAATTTCTCATTGATCAAAGTTGTTCACTTTGTCTGTCTTGCACGTGTATTCACACGCAAAGAGAGGGTGGCGTGTATGCTTCACGTTAAACTTCAGCTATGGGTTCTTTTACGGCCACCTTGAACAGTTTGTTTATGAAATGTGTTCAGTGTGACGGTTGGTTTCTACAGTCTCTTTCAAGTAAATAGTAAGTTTCTGTGCTTACAAAAGTTACGCAAAGCAGCATTGGAAGTTCTGTTTGTGTACGTTTACACAGAGGCACAGGATTTATTTTTATCTCCATTCATCATCTGAAACACCCACTTATCACACAAGAAAAACACCTTCAATACACACAATCTGGTTCAGAATCGATACAAATTGGTTACAACTTTGTAAGATGAACTGGGAAATTGGTGAGTTTGAGAAAGGAGAGCTGGGTGATCCAAAACGGACAAAAAAGGTAACGTTTTGACACTTAATATACGCTCGTAAAACTGCTAAATCACAAAATCGTCAATGCTGTATTTGTATTGCCGTATTGTTTTGGTTTAACTGGTGTTTATTGATTTTCTGATTTACCAATGCGTTCATTCGTCCACGTGACACCTTTCACTTTGGAATTCTTGTCACAGACAAATGCAGTCTTTTTCAAAGGCGAGGTCAGTTTTGTCCGTGCATGTGAATCATTCAGGGCCTGTATGTGTCATGATCCGCACTCGCTTCCCCCACGGCCACACAGCGTAACTTGTGGTGGATTGCATGCTTCAAGTACTTGTTTCTCCATATCACCTATCCTGCTTTACCCGATTCATTCATCCACTCATGCACAATTCACTATCACCGCCTCATACGGCTCCCCGTAGTTGTCCGCTTGTATTTTTGTGTATCTGTCTGTTTTCTCCGAAGATTGTTGTGCCCTGCAACTCGTCTCCGTTTCACGGGTCCAATCGCTCTACAATTGTTGTTGATTTGTCAGAACAATAATTTCCTCATTGATCGCCTCCATTCGGTTTGAGCTTCAAACACCGCAATCCATTGCGTGCTTGCGCGCGCACGTTTTTAATTTACCGGGAGGTACCTGCGAGAATGCGCAACGCAGCCAGACTGGTTTTCTCTCTATTATTATGCGTTTACTTGAGGTATCTATGTATCTCTGTCTTATCCACTTTTCGCCTGTCTGTTTTGTCTGTAGCTGACTACCAAACTGACAGTAAGTTCGTAGGTAGTAGTGGCGTTCCAGGCTGTGTATGCCAATGAAATACCTTTTAGTCAGTAGTGAATCTCTGAATCTGTTGGCCTGTTTTGTACCAAGCATCATTTTGTCCTGTTTTTCCGTTACTCAGATGAAGTTTATCAGACAAATTTTGCGAACGAAGCATCTGCCCCTGATTTTCATTTTTGTACAATTCTCCCGTATCAAAAGCCCTTTTGTGAGTTGTTGAGACAGACCACTGAGAAAAAGACCCAGTACACGTGACTGTTGTTCTGTTATTGGTTCACATTGCTTCATCAATCAGTCTATTCATTGTGGAATTTTCAAGGTTGTGATTGAGCACCGTGAGCCGTAGTAATATGTTTCCTACCTCCTCTCTTTTTGTTGTATGATCGTTTAATACATTTCAGGATACGTTGTGGTATGGTGTCGTGTTTTTCCTATCACTCTGAGGTGGTTAAAAGACGGTGAAACACCGTCAAAGTCCCCGCCCAATGAGTATATGTATGATCTCAGTTTCAGTTTTTACAACCGCTAACTATGTATTTTCATGTGCTGGTTATGGTTGCTGTCTTATGACTTCCTAGTTGGATAAAAGAGAAGAATGAAAACTGGAATGTTGAGAACAGAATCAAAGAGAAGATAAAGAATTCATATAGACTGATTGCAAAAATAGTGAGTAGATGCACGAATGCCACTGTTTGCAACACCCAGCCAGATCACTCAGTATCTCTAACTACCGGTTACCATGATTTCGAAGTCCCATATGTATGGGCTGTTACTCGGTAAATGTGTTTAATTTATTTTTACCCCATTTTTTATTCTTTTATTTCCCTTTTATGTACAGTCAGTTTTCAGGAAGGGGTATGCGGTTAATCAAAGGGCTGAGATGCAATACGAAAACATTAAGAAAGTTAGGTGGTGGCAATGACGAGGTTTGAGTACATGACCATCGGGGTAGCCTTAATCGCTTGGTCATCCCTTACCTTATCTGGTCAAACCACGGATCGTTTTCGTCGAAACATGGCTGTGCACATTGCAGCTCGTGTTGAAGTCCTCTGTACTGGCGTTTGGGTCACCCCTGCCTATGTGCGCGTATTCTGACATTCCAGTCCGCAATTCCTTCGGAGTTATTTAGTTCATTCGAATTTGGTCCCACCCACCCCCACATTCCAGGTGCGGTTTTTCTTTGACTTCGTTCGACTCCGAATAGTAAACCACCAATCATACCGTTCTATTTTTTTTCTCACAGGTGGATCATTTGGATTTGAAAATTCCCAAGGATTCCGTGTTCTATCGCATGTGCGATAATGCACTGATTACGTTCACCGATTTCGTTTTCCTTCTGGTTGTTTTATCTAGTAAGTTCTCTCAGTCGTTTTTTTTCAGTAACTGTGGGTCCCGGTAACTATTTGTAGATATCTTTACGGTCATTTGGTAGCGAGTCGTCGATACCTTGGCGTTGCTTCATCGCCGTTTCACATTCATTTTTTTGTAGCTCCACGTCGTCTGTTCGAAATCGCTTTTCGTATGTTTGATTTGAATGGAGACGGGGAGTTGGACGCGGAAGAATTTGATGTGGTGAGTCATCGGTAATTACTCTCGCCTGTGCTGTTCAGCCTCCTGTTCGCTTGCCATTGTTTTGCGTGAAATCCGATGAACAATGGATTGGTCAGTGGGAGTCAGTGTTTCACCCTCCTATAAAAGATATGCGATCCATTGTGCAGCTGTTTCATTCTGCTTGATAAAGATCATCAGCCTGTATGGATGTCTACCGTAGTCAATGGAATTCGGACAGCACCAGAATTGATTGTTAGTCCAACGCAATATACACTTCAGATATTTATGGCTGGTCTTCAACAATTTACACACTAAATGCCGTGCGCTACTCGAGAGCATTTGAATTCTGTGCAGTGCATGTGTGGGAAGTGCATTGTTAGTTTTCATCGGTGTAAGCTTGATTTCTGTCAGGAGTGTCGAGGTGAACATAAGTTTGTCACTTTTTGTATTGAGGCACTTTCTCTTATCATTTGAGCATCCAACTTAACCTTCAATCCTAGTCAACTTTCTGGTAGCTTCACGGAGTTCTGTCACTCTAAATGTATATTCCTCATTTGCGCTATCCGAGAAATGTACCCTGATTGTACGGGAATAGATTAAACTGGCATGCAGTGCTTGTCCAATGTGACACGAGTGGTATGGTGCTTCCAGGGAAATTCTGTCAAGTCCTTTACATACTAATCACATTTCGCAAGGACATTCTGCTAAATTTGTGGTTAACTTCTAAGCTGCAAAACATTGCTCTGAATCAACCCCTGGATCCATTAATATAATGATATATATATTTTCGCCAAACAAATCACGGTACGACAGTCTTCACAACAAAAGTCAGTCCATGCTGTTGGGCAGAACACTGCTTGGTTGCCCAAACCAGAGCTTGTGAATTTTCCGCCAGCATTTACAAATGGAGCCTTCGACTAGCCAAAGTCTGACCTGCAAGGCAGCGGGGCAATGTTTTTCAACTGCAGTCCGTTAAGTATGTGTGTGTGTG